TCCCAGCTAAGGAGTCAGGAAACCTGATCCAACCGCTTCAGGCAGGGACTTAAGCCCTGTGTGGCCTCAGAACTTGGGCCCCTACTCCCTTGCACTCTCCTCCTTTCCAACTCGGAGCAAAACCACTTCCAGGCCCTGCTGCCTAGACCAGGGTAGGGCTGGCAGAAATCTAGGCTTTTTGAGAATCCACCTGTAGGACACACACATGCTTGCATATAATTCATTTCATCCATGATATCCACATGAGATGTTTCTATCCGTCCCCAGGTGGAGTCTGGTAGCTAAGACAGTGCTAGCCTGGGAGGCAGCTCTCTGATGTGGGACAGGTGCTTTATCTTGTTGAGTTTAGTCAAAAACCTCCCCAGCAGTCTCCCAAGATCATTGCAAGAGTTGAATGGAAAGGCGAACATTGCTCAGAACCGTTCAGAGCACATTCAAAATGGGTAGGCATGTGTCCTTCCTGCACGGGACCATCTCTCCATGCCCACGAGGCTCTCCCTAACATTAGCCTCCCGACCTGTGTCCGTCCCCGTTGGGCTGGGCTCCAAGACCGCAGCAGTGGCAGGACCCTGCACAGGCTTCTAGGCCAACATCATCACAGTGCGGAGTGCTGCCCCTGCCCCTGCCCCTGCCCCTGCCCCTGCAGAAAGTGACTTGTGAGGGTGGGGCCCAGGGAACTGCAGGGCTGATAAGCTAAATCTGGGGCACCCTACGCTTGAGCATCACTGGTCCAGCCCGATTCCTTCTGCTCACTCCTGTTCTAGCCGGGAGGTAGAGACCCACAGAGGGGCCCTGGCAGAGGGAAGCCGAGGACACAAGAATACACACACTTTTTTTTTTTTCAAAGAGGGGAAGGGAGAGGGAGACAGAGACAGAAACATCAATGATAAGAGAGAATCACTGACTGGCTGCCTCCTGCACACCCCCTACTCGGAACCAAGCCTACAACCCATGCATATGCCCTGACTGGGAATCCAACCATCATCTCCTGGTGCATGGGTCGGTGCTCAACCACTGAGCCACACCACCCGGGCAAGAATACATATACTTTTTATTAAAGAAACTATGCATACACATAAACACACCCAGTGCTCAGATCAAAAAAACATTACCAACACCCTACACGGTACCATCGTGCTCCATTCTGGGGTAACCACTGTACCTACTCCAAGACCTTTTAAAAAGGAATTCCTATATAGCATTTATCATATGCTAGGCACTAGGTGTGTGTAACACAGACACACACACACCTCTTTTTAATCCTCAGAAAAACCCTGTGAGGAAGAACTTCATGGTCATCACTCCTGTTTTCAGGTCGGGAAGATCAGGCACAGAGGGGTTGAGAGACCTGCCCAGGGTCACTCCGCTAGTAAATGGTAAAACCAGGGTTGGTTGGAACCCAGGCAGTTTGACCCCAAGCGGTATGTGCACCGCTCTGCCCCCTAGGGTTATACTCCACAGCTGTCCTGTGGTCACCGCTCCACACTTCAGCTTCTGCGGACTGAATTGGGAGGGAAATTAAGCAGCGGAAAACAGCCCCACACTCCAATGGCATGGGCGGTGGGAACGCG